ACAATTAAGTGTTCTGGAATTCCCATTCTTCACAATGTTATCCATAATTTGTTATGATCCACACAGTTGAATACCTTTGCATAGTCAATAAAACATAGGTAAACATCTTTCTGGTTTTCTCTGCTTTCAGCCAAGATCCATCTGATATCAGCAGCGATATCCCTGTTCCATGTCCTCTTCTGAATCTGGCTTGAATTTCTGCCAGTTCCCTGTCAATGTACTGCTGCAACCATTTTTGAATGATCTTCAGCAAGATTTTACTTGCATGTGATATTAATGGTATTGTTTGATAATTTCAGCATTCTGTTGGAATGGGCACAAATATGGGTCTATTCCCATCAGTTGTCCAGGTAGCTATCTTCCAAATTTCTTGGCATGATGAGTAAGCGCCTCCAGCGCTGCATCCATTTGTTGAAATATCTCAATTCCATCAATTCCTGGAGTCTTGTTTTTTGACAATGCCTTCAGTGCAGTTTGTACTTTTTCCTTCAGCACCATAGGTTCTTGATCAAAAAGCAACCTCCTGAAATGATTGAACAATGAGCAATTCTTTTTGGCACAGTTACTCTTGCATTACTTCCATCTTCTTTTGATGCTTCCTGTATCATTCAATATTTTGCCCCATAGAATCCTTCAGAATTGCAACTTGAGGCTTGAATTTTTTCTTCAGTTCTTTCAGCTTGAGAAATGCTGGGTGTGTTCTTCCCTTTTGGTTTTCTAACTCCAGGTCTTTTCACACTTGATTGTAATACTTTACTTTGTCTTCTTGAGCTGCCCTTTAAAATCTTCTGTTCAGCTCTTTTACTTCATCATTTCTTCCATTCGCTTTTGCTGCTGTACATTCAAAAGCAAATTTCAGAGTCTTTTCTGACATCCATTTTGGTAATTTCTTTCTTTCCTGTCTTTTTAATTACCTTTTGCTTTCTTCATGTATGATATCCTTGATATTTGGTCTTCGGTCATTAGTGTTCAATTTGTCACACCTCTACTTGAGATGGTCTTTAAATTCAGGTGGGACATACTCTGTATCATATTTTGGTTCTCACAGACTTCTTTTAATTTTCTTCAGCTTCAACTTAAACTTGCAGAAGAGCGATCTATTGTCTGTTCCACAGTTGGCCCCTGGCCTTGTTCTGACTGATAATATTGAGCTTTTCCATCATCTCCTTCCACAGATGTAGTGGATTTGCTTCCTGTGTTTTCCATCCAGTTAGGTTCACATGTATAGTCGCTGTTTATGTTGTTTAAAAAAGGTATTTGCAACGAATAGGTCATTGGTCTTGCAAAATTCTATCATGAGATCTCTGGCATCATTTCTATTACCAAGGTCATTTTTCTCCAACTACAGATACTTTTTTGTTTCCAACTTTCTCATTCCAATCACCAGTAATATCAATGCATCTTGATTGCAAGTTTGATCAATTTCAGACTGCAGAAGTTGGTAAAAATCTTTAATTTGTTTATCTTTGGCATTAGTGGTTGGTGCGTAAGTTTGAGTAATAGCTGGATTAACTGGTCTTCCTTGTAGGCATATGGATATTATCCTATCACTGACAGCGTTGTACTTCAGGATAGATCTTGAAATATTCTTTTTGACAATGAATGTGACACCATTTCTCTTCAATTTGTCATTCCCAGCATAGTAAACCATATGATTGTCCGATTCAAAATGGCCAATACCAGTCCATTTCAGCTCAGTAATGCCTAGAATATCAATCTTTATGCCTTTCATTTCATTTAAAATATATACATATTGTGCTTTAGTTGGAAGTTTACAGCTCAGGTTAATTTCTCATTCAAAAATTTATACACATATCGTTTTGTGACATTAGTTGCAGTCCTCACAATGTGACAGCATGCTCCTCTTTTCCACCTCAGGTTCCTTGTGTCCATTAGTCCAGAAAAATATGGAATGATTCATGAATTTACATCTCATCCTTGTTCATGGGCCACACTAATCTTCTCTGTATCATTCCAGTTTTACTATATGTGCTGCCGAAGTGAGCATCCATTTCATTTTTGACAACTTTCAATTTTCCTAAATTCATACTTCATACATTCTGCATTCTGATTATTAATGGATATTTACAGCTGTTTCTTCTCATTTTGAGTCATAATGAAATCAGCAAATATCAGAAAATGAAGGTTCAAAAATTTGAGTCCATCCACATCATTAAGGTTGACTCTACTCTGAGGAAGGAGCTCTGCCTCAGTCGTATTTTGAGTGCCTTCCAACCTGAGGAGTTTATCTTCCAGCACTATATCAGACAGTGTTCCACTGCTATTCATAAGGTTTTCATTGGCCAATTTTTTCAGAAGTAGACCACCAGGTCCTTCTTCCTAGTATGGCTTAGTCTGGAAGCTTTGCTAAATCCTGTCCACCATGGGTGACTTTGCTGGAATTTGAAATACCAGTGCCATAACTCCCAGCACCACAGCAACACACAAGCCACCACAGTATGACAAACTGCAGACACATGGTGGGAATCCAGGTTTAGAAGTGTAAATGTGTCCTTAAATATTAGATGTGATTTTAACAAGGATTATACTAAATCTATTTTATAACGCATTTGAAGAGGTTTTTTTCCCCCACATGCACACATGCATGACTAAGCAACTAATTTAAACCAAAAAAAGGAGTTAATCTTTTTAAAAAGAATGAGTGTGACAAAATGGAACTAACAACAATGAATCAGGAGCTCCATTTCATATTCTAGACTCTAGAATGAGTCATTAGATCTCATGATTCCTCAGCATCCTCATCAGGAACATAAAAAAAAAAAAAAAAAAAAAAAAACAGAAAAAAGTATATGCACCTAACAGGGTTACCACATCGTGCAACTCCATGAGGGCATCAGTCATATTTTCTTCTGACTACAGGTATCTTCTGAAGTATTGCAGGGCAGTAGCCCTGAGTCCAAGGCTAAAATCTTGTCTATTAGTCCTCAAATCTACCTATATATAAGAATATGTATAGTTTTTCAAAAACATTAACTCAAGAACTACTCAGTCAGAATCTGAGATGTTGGGATCCAAGAATCTATTTATGTTTGAAAGTTACTCAGTTATTTCTGCATCATAGCCAAGTTTGGAAACTTCTAGTCAAATTCCTTCCCATCTCTGTTTCTGAAATGCTGTTATAGGTGTAAACTTTTCTTGACTGTAGAGTCACCTGCAATCAGTGCCTTTCCTTCTCTGCTCTCAGTAATCTCCTTCAATCCTTGACAACTTTTACCTCACAAACACACAAAAATTCTTTATATCTTATCTAATAACATTTAGCTATAAATTAAGCTTATGTGCTTTAGTCTTTAAAAAAACAGTGAAGGAAGACAGATCACACCTCTATAATTTTTTTGTTTTTAAATATGAAAAATTTAAATATTTGGAAAGATACTAAACATAATATAATATACATCTATGATCAGCCATATTTGCCTTAGTTATGTCTTTCCCTACTAAAAAAATGCAAATTCAGCTCTGGCCCTCCAACTTCCATTTCTTTTCCATTCCCTCTTTTCTCACAGGTTATCATTATTCTTAAATTGGTATTTATAATACCCATACAAATTTTGGTAATTGTACTGCATATTTATATATCTATTAATAATATATAGTATTCTTTTATGTATTATAGGTTTATACGGTATCATTCTTTACCAAACGTTTGTTACTTTTTTCACTCAGAATTATGCTTTTGCAATTTATATAGGAATATCTAACATTTTCATTTTCACCTCTAAATGCCACTGTATGAAAAACCTACTTTTTAAACCCCTACCACTATAATTAATTAGATTGTTTTCATTTTTTTTTTTTGCAAAAATACTACAGTAAATGACTTTACACATGTTCTTGAGAGTGTCTTTTTGTTACGTTCCTAGAAGTCTACCATTTTTTAGGCTATGTTATTTCAAATACTTGAGAAAAATTATTAGCTCAATCATACTATATCTTCTTCAGATTCAAGGAAGCAAGGTATTCTAATTCCCTACATAGGTTTATAAAATGAATACCTTTCGGCAAACTATAGCCTTGACTTCAGCCAGCCAAGTTATAGATGAATGTCATTGACCACATAAGAAAACATGATAGAAACAGCAAAAACCTATCACTGCAGTCTCTAATACATCCTACAGTCTCCAATTTATTCATGATAGGTCACGAGAATTATCTTAAGACAGAAAGAGCAGCCTATAAAAAACTATTTGGGATTAAGTAAATGACTATGTTCAAAATACCTTACTGAGCTATTTCCATAGTAACACTGATGGCCAATAAAAGCAATATTTTGTTGCTGTAATCAGAACTTTAGAGAACTTTCCTCAAATCCCCCAGTACCAGGAAAAAAAAACAAAAAAACCAAATAACAACAGTAACAAAACTTGTTGCCGTTGAGTCAATTCCGACTCATAGTGACCCTACAGGACAGAGTAGAACTGCCCCATAGGGTTTCCAAGAGGGGACTGGAGGATTTGAACTGCCTACCTTTTTGGTTAGCAGCCACAGCTCTTAACCACTGCGCCACCAGAGGTCCCTCCCATCACAGTCCCTTTTAAAAAGCAGGTGTTCAGTAAGTATTGAATGGATAGTGCCCATAATAAAAGATTTTGCTATCAAATGCATAAATGAGAAGAAGAAAGCTGAGTTCTGCTCAGATCAGATCAACAAGTATTTACTGAGTCAGAAGTATAGGAAAGACACACTTCTATGAGTTATTTGTCTTGCAATTATTGAACAACTTTCTTTAAATATCACTCAACCTTCCCACCTCAAATACACAATCATTTGAACAACTCTGAACTGAATCTCTTCCTCTATCTTAAAATGAACTTAATATAAAACTTCCCCATGTTTGGAGGAAGGATAGGGCTTTGGTGTCTGTGTTTGGTATCATATTTTTTTCCTTACTAAAAATACTTTTTCCCCCAAGTCTTATTTTATTCATAATCCACCAAAAAAAGAGAATAGCTTTAATTCTGCTTCCCTTTAGGTCAGCAGGTCGAATCTACCAGCTGCTCCTTGGAAACCCTGTGGGGCAGTTCTACTCTGTCCTATAGGGTTGCTATGAGTTGGAATTGACTTGACGGTAATGGGTTTGGTTTTGGGTTTTTCAGTTCTAGCCCAGGGATTTTTCATGTCCTTATATGAGGATTATAAACACATATTTTAATCTATATCACAGTAGCACATCTTGCCACACATTAGAGATTTTGCCAGCAAAGCTTTGTTTGGATAGCAAAGTTTATGTAATTATTTGAATATTCAATTGCATTTCACCTTTATTATTTAATAAAAATGACAGAACATGAAAAGATCAAGGTACTAATATTTATGGTCACAGGTATGATAAACCAAATACAGTTGAGGCATGGAATAAAATTGAGAGATGGAACATATTAGATCCGTTGAAAGTGTAAAATTTATTTTCATTTGGATTTTCATTGTGCTTAAAACAATAAACTATATGTTCAAGATTGCTCCTCATGACCACAATAGTCCTTTAAACCTGTTGTCAGCTAACTCATTCTAAGGAGACCTTGTGGTGTATCTTTGAGCCTGGGACACTTAAAGTAAAAGGGGGCACTAAACATAATTATATGTTTTTGAAATATTTATTTATTGACTGGAAATTCATTTCTAAAGAATTAAAATAGCATATCCATCTACACTGAAGCAAAATTTTTTAAAACAGAAAAGTTTCTTTATATTGATTAGATGAACATTGAAAATGGCGGAATGATTATTCTTGGTACATAATCAAGGACTTTATTTTCTTAGCTGCATATATGTCTATAATACTGTCACTACTGCTATTCTGAAGAAAGGATTTAAAATATTTTATTTGAAAACTTTAATATAATTGCCTTAAATCTTCTTCAAAATTTATTTTATAATTAATATTGTTTAAACTGTTGACGCCTTCTATTGACTCTTCACAAAAGGTTATAATATTAAATGGAATCATATGGAATTGATTTATAATACCATATCACTACTATTTTTCCGAAGAAGACATTTATTAATATATGGTCTTACTTTAAAAAATTTTTTTTCTATAAAATTGCTTGTAATCTTCAAATTTGCATCTTGCTATTAATAACTTTAAAACTGACAGGTTGGTGGTAGGAACCCACCAGCCACTCTTCTTGAGAAAGAAGTGACAGTCTGTTCCCACAAAGATTACAGCCTTGGAAACCCTATGAGGCTGTTCTATTCTGTCCTGTAGGGTCACTATGAGTTGGAATCAATTTGATGGCAATGGGTTTATTAATAAATTTGAGATTGTTGACAATATAAATTGACTCTTCTGGGTATGCCATAATAATTTATGGAAACTTTTATAATTGCTAATATTTGATTGTCTTCGACCTACAAAAAAATGACTATTTCATATGATTTGACCTAATAATTTAATTGAGAAAATATTCTTTATATAAGTGTTGAACTGGTAAGCTCAGAGTAAACTATTCTAAATGTAGGATGTTTTTGTATTGTAATATTTTTGAAAAGAAAAAACGTTGAACATCAATATCTAAAAAGAATTTAAGAAGAAAACAACAAATTAAATTAAAACTCATAATAAAAAAGACCTTCCTTAATCTAACTGAGAAAATCTACAAAAATCCCATAGCATACAAATACTTTAAAGTGAATGAGATAAGGAAGTCAATTATGACCTCTTCTACTCAGTGATATACTGGAGGTCCAATGCAATACAGCAAGAAAATTAATACAGGACGTAAAAATTAGGAATAAGTAAATAAAACTGTCACAATTTGCAGCTGCCATAATTTTATTTGTAGAAAATAAAAAAATAATCTTCAGATAAACTATTAGAATTAATATATGAATTTAGCAAGACAACCAGATTTGAGGTCAGTATGCAAAAATCACTTGTATAACCATATACTAGAAATAAACCATTAGAATATGAAAATTTAAAATTATATCATTACAATGATATAAAGACATCAAATATAGACAAATTATTTGGTTCAAAATAAC